CATAACCATAACCGCGACTTCCATCAAGCTCAACTTCTACAGATAACCACGTGTTCTCATTTACATGAAGTTGAACATGTCAGATTGCAGTGTTCATGAAAATTGATATGAATTCACGTGATGTTGCCTCGTTTTTTATCTTATTATGAAGTCTATAGTATTTTTCCTCAAGTTTCTTAATGAAAAGATCCAACTCTTGGACACTCATCGGAGGGTTTATTATAGGAAGTTTGTTTGAGTTAAATCTTGGCATAGTATCAAAAGATGTATGATCTTGTTTCAACACATCCTGAAACACATCCCTAAATTTTCAATCGCCATATGCTTTTTTCCCCTTGATCCAGATCTTTAGATCAAATATGTAATCATTTGCTTTGTTTGGCTTGGTTCTCAACAATAATGTGTTAAACTGATATTCATTCATAATTTCCTTATTCGTTTCATTATTGACAAAATAGAAATTTTCTGTCAGCAACTTATTGAATCTTTCTATGATGGCTTCTCTCAAAAGACTCCAGGAGTCACTTGTATGTGGCATTTGATATTTGCCTGAAGAACGTAGAAATTTATAATTTACTACAACTGCATTATAGAATTTGATAAACATTTAGTTTTAGAAACTGGAAAAACAAAAATATATAAACTCTACTTACTATTTGCATCAGACAATAGGTACCAAACGACAAGTGATTTTGATGCTATGGTGGTTAGAGCTGTAAGGACAGTGTCTGGCGAGAGTGGTACATTGTGATCATCATTGGTAAAATATATACATTTTTGTGGCTTGACATTTTTTAATTCATCAAATTTCTGTTCGAGCCAAGAAGAAAAATCATCCAAATCTGTGAACTCAGATAAAGAACCTTTCAACTTTACGGCTGTTGGTTCACCCTCGAGCAAGACTCATATCACTATTATGGAACCTGGCCTTTTTGTTAACTCATTCTTATCATTAGACATTTTCTGCGGAAAATGTTAAATTGGTTAGTGGATAACCAAAATGGCAGGAATAAATATAATAACTTGTTAACTTGCATAATCATCATACATTTACAGTAATAAATTTCAAAAAATGTAAAATTCTGCTTTTTTTTTTAATCTGTTGAGTTTTTTGTAGTAAATAGTATTTAGAAAGTTATAAATTTATGGTCTTTAGAGATAAAAAAAAATATTTTTGCACTATGTACAGGTTTTAAACTTTTTAGCATGAGAATTTAACTGTTGCAATTATTAATTATTTTAACAATTGTCACCAATGGCATTAGGATCTACTGCAAGGAGTGCACTTATTTGTGTGGGTGATACAAACCCAAAAAGGAAAATAGCTAATCAGAGGGCATTTGCTTATCAGTTATCCTGTATTTTTCACACAGTCATGTGATTTTTAACTCAAACTTTTGAACATATTCGTATTTTGTATAAAACAATGAAAGATGCCCAATCCACAATTAAGATGTTGAGGGAATTGAATATCAAACTTGTATCTGATATTGCTGAACTTAGAAAGAAGAATGCCGAGATTCTTGAACTTAGAAATAAATTTGCCAAAGTCGAGGCCAAGAATATAAAGTTAAAACAAGATAAGGAAGAGATTGAGATCAGATTTGTGAAATTAGAACAGACCACAAAGAAAATGCTAAGAATGCAAAGTTGAGAGATGGTGAGCTCAATGCCAGAATCGTGGAACTAGAACAGTCAGCAAAAGAAAGTGAAAATCGATTTGCGAAATTGGAGCAGAAGTGAAACAATCCTGTGGATAGATTAGAAAATGGTGATAATTCTGAAAATGTTGTTAATATACCCAACTCTGTTATAGACCAGTGCATTAATTCTAACTCCAAATCATTAGTGGATGATACTAGGGAAATTGATCAATCTTTGATTAATACTACCCTTATTAAAATAGAAAATTCTAATAATACTCTGGCATCTGAAAATACTTCAAATTCTGATGATGTATCTAATTTTGATATATGCCAGGAATCGGAAAACCAATATATCACATCTCCTATTTTCATAGAGCCTAAATCATTGGAAAACATGGAAATTGACGATTTTCTAGATTCAACACATAAAGAAAAGGTTAGTAAAGAGATAATTCAGAGTATTGGAGAGAAGAAACTTCGAGATCAAGAGAAAATCATAACTTCTCAGGATACTAAATGTTCTTTGAGTGTAAAAGGAGGGCAGGGGTTGATCCAAGAATTATTTACTCCAGAGCCGTCTCTACAAGAATCAAATATAATTCAAAACTATATGATTGAAATTTCCAAGACTGGCGGTCCCGAAAAATCTAATATTGACGAAGCATCACAACATCTAGCTCAGTTATGTGATAAAGCTTTTGATGCTGAGGATGGTGCAAATAGAGCAAACCAAGAAGAAATCTTAAGTTGGTCCATCTATGAAAAGGATTTCAAGATTCAGTTCAATGAGATTATTAAAAATAGCAGAGGTAAAATTGGTAAAAAGAAGGCAAGAAGTTTACTTTATGATTCAATTACAAAACAGCTTTCTATTATCTATAAAAAAAGATCTCAAGAATTGGGTTTACATCTTCCAGAAATATCGCGGGATGCTTTGCGCAAAAAAACTCAGAGAACTAAGAAAATTTATATATTATTCGAAAAAATAGGCCATGATAAAATCAAATACATCAAATTATATAGTGCGAATTCCATTTCAAAGCTTACTAATGATCAAATTCAAGAGATTATAAATTATTCTTGCAGAACATCAATACAGATAATGTAGGACATCAAATTTCACCGAAAATACTGAAATTTCTGAGACTGGCAGTCCCGGAAAAATCACATCTGAAATAGAAACAGGTAATATAACCACTCCTTCTATTCCATTGTCCCATACCTTTAGCTCCGTGACTGCCTCCAGCAATTCAGAAGATAAGATAATTGAGAAAGTTGAATCTTTACCAGAAACCGAGACCAAGGTAAGTATATCTACTGAATCTCAAGTTTCTAATTCATCTAGCTTTGAACTATCTCAAGAAAATAATCAAGATTCGGAATTATCAGCAGAGCTGGCACGTCCAAAAACTGAGGTAAGTGTATCATCAGAAAATACAAAAGCAAATGTTAGTAAACAATCAACATTCCAACCTCCAATTTTTACCTTGCCTAATGATCTTAAAGAGAAGCAAGCACACATTATCAAAATAGTATTAGATTGCTTTTCACATTTATTATTAAAATACAATAATAAATATGGTGATTACTTTACTTGCTCAGTATCCTGTTCTATATGCAATAAAGATCATAAAAAAGAAAATATAAGAGATAATATAGAGGGTAACTGGGGTAGTGGTGATTATGTCAATACAAAGACTTATCATCTCAAATGCTGGGAGGCTTATCAGAATTCAATCCAAATAGTAACCATAAAAGCATAGATTAATAAGGAAACTAGGTATGACTCTATTATCTCCACTAATTAATAATCACAAATTGCATTGCAAAAATAATGTAAAAATAAAACATGGGAAGGCCACATGCCCTCTTCTTTATTTAATAAAAATTGTTGCTAGAACAACAATATACAAATAAAACATACATCACTGTTCATAATGTGAATAAAAAAATCATATTCATTCTATTCTTATTTTTTGTCTAATATTTTTTGGAGTTTAATATTATCCAACAATGAACTGTCATTAGAGCTTGCTTTCAAAGTTACAGTATCGATTGTCTTTTTTCTATCTTGTATTTTTTCATGCTTTTCTAATTTAAATAAAAATGTTATTTTAGCATTACCCACTTGTATATACTCATATTCAGATTAATAACTATTTTTTTATTATATATTTTATTCTCAACAATAATAGAAGCGAATTGGTAGGTGGCATAACCAAAACATAATTATATAATATAAAGTTTTCTTACTAGTAAGAGTAATATTCACAGGGTTTGGTTTAGATGGCATTGGGTTATTAGTCGTGGAAGTGGTAGTGTCATAGGTGGTGATGGTGGTGGTGGTGTTATTACTCGTGGAGGTGGTGGTATTATTAGTTATAGGGGTGGTGGTGTCATTACTGCTCATTTTTCATTCCTAAATACAAAAATTATTTAGTAAGAAAAAATTTGTTATCATAGTCACGGTTAAATATAAAATAGCACATTACTTTAAAAAATAATTATGATCAGGTTAAAAAATAATTATATACGAGCAAAAAATATTATTATAACCCACCCTATAAGAAACAAAAAAATCACTTATTTTATACTTTATGTTCGTTAGATCTAGAGAACCTGCCAAAAAGAAATTACAAGCTTAGTAATTACGTTACTCTAACATAATGCCAGATCACACTTAACAAAGAACTCCACTTAGCCATAAGTTCCAAATACTGGATCTATTTTGTTATTTTTCTGGTAAAATTAACTCTCTTAGATTTGATGATCATTTCTGCGAAGTAAAAAAAAGTCAACGATCTTGACAATCTGGGAATTCCAAGTTCCTCATAACATATGAATTTTGATAAAACTACTGATAAGTAACATTATACTTATTACCCTTATAACCTTTTTAAACCCC